ATTCTGGAACACTTGTTTGCATTAACCAAATTGTTTTTCACAAGGTTGGTTTTGTCTGTTACTTTTCATACGCACTACTAGCTCGTTCCAAGTCATGATTGAATTTATCTTAAAGAGTCCAGGATATTTATGTTCCTAACATACTAGTCATCCTGTAAAGAAGTGAAATTTGCAAATGCATTGTGTGCAATTTGCAACAAAAACAACCCCGAAAGAACGACATGTTTTTTCTTTATTTTTTTGTGCATTAAGAAGCATAACCAGGAACATTTGATAAATGACGCTAACCAATTATTTTCGATGATTGATCGGTTGTAATGAACCAATCATCAATTATGACATTTTAAGCAATTCCCAACACTACTGTCCTCTATTCCCTGAGACATTAATTTTGCCTTGAATGGAAGTCCCAATGAAATAAGTGTTCACTGTATTGTATCGAATCGCAGAAACCCCTGAATTCTGCTCAGCATCTTTGTACAAAGAACATGTGAGTCTTACGACTATGAATATCGTATTCTGTAGATTTTGAGTTCTCATGAACTGGACAGCCAGTCTAGTGGTCATGTTATCATCATACGAGGTCCAAAACTATGAATGATTACATAACGAATATGGGTCACCTATATGTCGCAGCTGTTTGAATACACATGCAAAAACATACTTCAGATAACGTTTGTCTACATTGAGGTCAGTCCCAAAGTACATTGCTGCAGAACTAGAAATAAATGAAACTGTATAAAAATGTATGTTCAACAGTTTTCTGGATTATCAACTATCACATGCCTGACTTAAAATATTCTAACTCACATTCTTTAAGTGAGTGAGTGAGTTTAATTTTTAGCAATATTTCAGCAATATCGCGGCTGGGGACACCAGAATGTGGAGACAATGTGGGAATATCTCTATGTGGAGAATCGAATCTTCTGTCTTCGGCGTGACGAGCGAAAGCTTAAATCACTAGGCTACCCTACCGACCCACATTCTTTAAGCATTCGTCACACACGCGCATATTGATTCTAATACCTAAATTATAGTTCTCAGGTTTGCAATCTTTACGTTATGTCTGAAAAACGAGACTTGTGATACGTTTCCTTGATTTTGTCACATTTGTTAAACCAGTTATGAACAGTGCTCGGGGGAACTTCAAAGTTATCATCACATCAGATTCCATTGCACCAGCCTTATGTTCACAATGTTTGTGACTTGTGATCTACAATCAAAACACATTTTGAAATATTAAAGTTTTTAAAACATAATTCCAAACTCCAAGGAGCATTATACAAAGCAATCTTAGCGTTCGCTCGTCACACCGAAGACCCGTGTTTTATTCCCCACATGGATGCAGTGTGTGAAACCCATGTCCTCCGCCGTGATATGGCTGGAATATTGCTAAAAGCGGCGTAAAACTATACTCACTTACTCACTCAAATATCATCGCATGGCCACTGTTTGTTTAACTGCTCTGTTTCAGTTCCATTTCCAATTCAACGTCGCTGTCGGCGGCACCCTCGGCTACTTCCCCGACAACGTCCAGAACTCCCCCTACCCCAAACCCTGGTGTAACACGTGTCCAACAGCTGGCCAGTCGGACAAAACATTCTGGGAGGCCAAAGACAAGTGGTACCCGACCTGGAAGGGCGAGAAGGCAGCAATGGCGGTCAAGTCCGTCAAAATCTGGAGTTACTAAACAACACAAATATTTTAGGTTTGATATTCAAGACAACGCTCGTGTGAATAAAGAGAGACATAAACTCTTGAATTATGTTATTGTCAAGAACACTTTCTCATATATTCTACAATTCGATCCTGTTCCAAATACTTGTAATAGACAGGTATTCACATAAGGCAGCTTGACTCCTGAGAGGTTCTAGGACTTCTGTCCTGCCCCACAACAAAGTACACATGACTCATGTGGTTTCATCTTAATTAAGGGCCTGTTCGATTATTGCGAAACTGGTTTTGGTTTGTGAAACTGGTTTCTCCTGTTATAAACGAGTGTCCAGTTTCGAGACAGTCCAGTGATCAACACCATGGGTATCAATTTACGCAATTGGGTTGAGTGACTGAGTGCTTTTAGCAATATTCCAGCAATGTCACGGCGGGGGACACCAGATTATGCAATTGGAATACGATGACATATGTCAACCAAGTCAGCGAGCCTGACCACCCTATCCCGTTAGTCGCCTTTTACGATAAGCATGGGTTACTGAAGATCAATTCTAACTCGGATCTTAACGGGCCCATATCACAATTGGGATAACAGTGTAAAAGATTGTAAAACTATGTGCAAGACAGTTATACTTTGAACCATTTTATATAATCTAATGACTACACAACTTCTTTGAGAGGCATTTTAGAAGTTGTATAGATGAAGGAAAACCAAGTTCCATTGATAGTCAACTTCTTTATTGCAATGAGTGCTGCGTTTCGGTGTAGGTACCAACACCGTTATCAAGCAAGTGGTACAAAGAGTTGTAACATGGAAAATATATACATAGCTGCATAGTGTGTATATACAATTGACTAGTTTGATATACACTCATACTGACCAATATCTCCACTTCACCTCCAATCACCCTCTGCAGGTTAAGAAAGGCATAATTTCCACCCTTACCCGAAGAGCCAAGAACATCTGCTCGACAACAGAAGCCCTAGAAATCGAACTAAACCACCTCCGCCATGTCTTCATCCATTATAACCAGTACCCCCAGAAGTTAGTCAACAACCTCATCACATCCACCCTCAACCCAAGAGATAAATCACCCCGTCGGCAATCAGCTCCCTTCGTAATAAGTATCCCGTCTGTCCCAGCAGTCAGCCACCAGATAAGACGACTACTTCAGCAGCAAGCAGGTATAGACGTTCTGTTCCAGAAAGGCAAGTCCATCCAAAACCTCCTCCAAGCCACAGGCAAACCCCCATCAACACCTAAAGAAGACCCCACAGGAGTAGTCTACCAGATCAATTGCTAATATGGAGACTCTTATATAGGTACAACGTCCCGCCCTCCCCCACTACGAATTAAAGAACACAAAACTTCAGTCAGGGAAAAAAGACTCCAAATCCGCCATAGCCGACCACACCCAAGCCAACTTTGACTATGCCATCCTTGGGAACAACATCCACATCCTGGAAACCAACCGATCAGACTACAGGATTAGGAAACTCCTTGAAGCCATAAAAATCCAACGTTTCAACCCCAGCATGAACCGGGATCAAGGTTATTTTATCTCCTCAGCCTATCACCACATAATTAAAGATCACCAGTAATCCACCCATACCTCGTCAAGTGGCTTCTATGCCCCCCTTTTGTGTATTGTAATCACAACCAATCAATGTGTACATCAACCTACTCTCTTTAACTCACCATTACCATCTCAGTGTACATCAACTCATCTATTGTATAAACTATATCTGCATTTGTCTGAATCACTATCACTCTGTACATCAACCTACTCTGCTCAAATCACTAATTAACAATCCAATGTATATCAACCTTGTCAATTGTATATACACACTATGCAGCTATGTATATATTCTCCATGTTACAACTCTTTGCATCACTTGCTTGATAACGGTGTCAGTGCCTACACCGAAACGTCGCACTCATTGCAATAAAGAAGTTGACTAATGACTACACAGTTGAACAAATAAGATTAACATATTTCCATCAACATACAAACAACCCTAGTGCTGACATCCTCCTCCCTCAGTGTATTTAATAGTTAACTAAGTGCATTCAGGGTTATCACTTTATGTTTATATTAAATGTAATAAGTCCTACTTTGTATTGACATAGGAAATACATACTCATTCACAATCTGCCGGACTTGAGTAAGTCGCGGATACAATATTATTACATGATGTTTAAAGGTTAAGGGATATTTAAAATTTCTTTATGTGTGAACATGAGTCCTCACATTCAACTGAATGCTAAAACAATCCCTATATAGCTTTCCTTCTGTTCCAGTTTCTACAGAATAACAACTTTCTGACATTTGCAAATCAGAAAGCCTCACATACATTGTGGCATCCTGGGGTATTCACTATGAGAAAGAGTGTTTCAATCTATTCTTCTGGGTCACAATATTACAAGAATGCATTTGTCTTTTCAGATTCATCGTCAGACTCAGCTGTGTAACGATTCAGGATCTTATTCAAAAGTTTATGTGCCAAGAATTATTCCAGCTGATTATGACACATAATAAGACTTACAATTGACAAATGTTTTCTCGCATAAGAAATACTCTTATTTCAAATCCTTGTAAACTTTGAAAGTATTTAGAATTTTCATCACTTATCACTCTGTGATTAAACATTCAATGAGGTTAGAAATATTAAATTAATAGGCCGGTCGCAGTCAACATAGTTAAGGCGCTTGTGCACTCGGCAATATAGGTTGAGCGTATCTATCAATGGTACAGGTTCATTTGCTATGAAAGCACAGAGTAAGTGAGCGGTATGTATTTCGTATTGTATTTGGTTCGTTTCAGTTGTGTAAAATGCAGCTTTTGGTTACGTGATTCACAAGGTGAGGTGAGGTGAAATTGGGTTCAACGTCGTGCTTGAGAATATTTCGCTCATATGACGACGTGCATGCGTGTGTATGTGTATGTGTGGCTGCTTGTACTAGCCCAGACTGAAGCTGGTTTTATAGTGCTCGCCCACTGAGATATCATGCCGCAGTGAAGCATGAATACCCCACTCAGACACATTATACTGACTCCGAGCCGACCAGTCCTTGTTGTACCCATTAATGCCGAGCGCCAGGCAGGGACCAACAGGTACCATATTTTAACGTGTTTTGGTATGACGGGACCGGGGATCGAACCCGCGACCTTCCGCTCTCCGGGCGGACGCTCTAACCACTACACCACGGAGGCGGTCGCATGTAATTAAGTGATTTCAGGGTTATGTAATACTCGAAGGTTCCTATAAATGATTCTGTATATCTCACCTTTCCACATAATTACATTTCCGTGACTATATGTCCACCTATGTTTCAGACGCTGACGGCAGATAAGTTCGGCAACGACTTCCTCTACCACGGTGTACTGGATGTTCAGAGTGAGTCTCAGAGTCACAGAGTCTTACATGATAACCATAGGGTAATGTGAACATAGCAAGTGAGTGAGTGAGTTGGTTTTTACGCCGCTTTTATAAATATTTCAGCAATATCATGACGGGGGACACCGGAATTGGGCTTCACACATTGTGCCCATGTGGGGAGTCGAACCCGGGCCTTCGGCGTGACGAGCGAACGCTTTAACCACTAGGCTACCCCACCGCCCGAACATAGCAAGAATTGGTGCTATTGCATAGAACGATCTTAGCGTTAACGTGATCGTAATGGAGTTTACAAATTAACATAGACTGTCGTAGTTCTCAGGTTGATATTTACAGCTCCCTTCTGAGATGTATTACATATCAGTCTTTCGATCTTCATTATCCAGGCTCCAAGACACCAAAGCTAGGACCTTTATCATGACCAAGCTTCAGTGTATTGTGGTTTATATAAGTTAAACCTATCATGACAAAAGAAGCTGTGTGTTATTAAAATGGAGAGTTATTCAACAAAACCCGTTCTTTGGCGCATATACGAAAGAAGCGGCGGTTGATAACTCACAGCAGCTTACTTGCAACGGTCATTTCAAGCTGTAAAACTGTATGGAATCAGGGTGCCGTGTTTCTAAAGAATCTTAACGCTAGGTATTCGTAAGTCTATCTTAAGGTATGGCAGTTACGATATCCAAAGGTCTCTTTGTACAACGGCACCCAAGTATATCGAACTACGAAAACATGATAATATTTGACGGATACATTTCATGTTGTATTTCGTCTGATCTGTGTTACAGAACAATGGGGAACCTGTACTGACTCACGATGGTACGGCTGCAAACGGGACGCCAAGGATTCCCTCATCCCTCCTATCCTCTCAGCCAAGCTCATCTCGCTAGTGGACTTCAAGTACGGCCGTGTCGAGATGGTAGCCAAGTTGCCAGAAGGAGACTGGATCTGGCCAGGTAGGCAGCGTGAAAGAGTTCTTTTTATTTTTATGTATTTTACCACCTTATTGGTGTGCTTGATGACGTCCCTATTGATGTGCTTCAAGACGTGACGATGGATGTGCTTGATGATGTCCCTATGGATGTGCTTAATTACGTCACTATGGATGTGCTTGATGATGTCCCTATTGATGTGCTTAATTACGTCACTATGGATGTGCTTGTTGATGTCCCTATGGATGTACTTAATTACGTCACTATGGATGTGCTTGATGATGTCCCTATGGATGTACTTAATTACGTCACTATGGATGTGCTTGATGATGTCCCTATGGATGTATTTAATTACGTCACTATGGATGTGCTTGATGATGTCCCTATGGATGTACTTAATTACGTCACTATGGATGTGCTTGATGATGTCCCTATGGATGTACTTAATTACGTCACTATGGATGTGCTTGATGATGTCCCTATGGATGTGCTTAATTACGTCACTATGGATGTGCTTAAATAAGACCAATCTCTGCTACTATAATTACCTACGATGATGTTGATATTGAGATCATTGAGAGTACATTGTCTTCATTCCATTAGATAATGATTGCTTTCAGCTTTACTGAATGACAACCTTACAAAGGAACTTTAAGTGGATTGGTTAGAAAACAATCATATGTTAGACATGGCGGGAACAATATGTGTTTTGAAAATGGCCCTACATGGTTTTTACAACTGAGCAAATTCACATTGATATAGGGCGCACTCTCTGCTTACACAACTAAACTAATTACAATGCACTCCCTGCATTAGTAGGTCTAAATATAGATTCATTGACTTTGCCAATATTGCAAACTTGTAAAGACGCACGCGCTCTCCATGTAACATGGCAGTGTGGGTATACAAGCAAGGTGGACTTACTGCCAAATCTATTTTACAATACCAATACCTTACGAACCTATTTTGCAGCCATCTGGTTGATGCCTAAGTCCTTTGTGTATGGCGGATGGCCAGCTTCCGGTGAAATAGACATGGTGGAAGCAAGATGTAAGTGATGCAATAATATTACATAATAAGTAAGTTTCTTAACGTCAAATGACAATTGTTATGTGAAAACCCGTATAAATTCTAATTCGTATACAAATATAACAAATGATAAACTCTGAAAACGTGCACCTACTAAATATAGCCCAAATTGGTTGTTATAATATAATAGTTAAATACCAAGTGATTCCATGACTTTTTTGCCGTTATTTTCCAAAACCCTTAAAAAGGTAGGCCACACACACACTAGAGGACTGATCTCCTGACAGTAGAAGGGGTTGGGTCTGTCATGTATTGTTTCGCAAATCGATATGTTAGCTCATTTCGTATTTTAGTCTGCATGTTTTTATTCTAATGATTAATTAAGCTGATCGTAAAGTTATTGGTGTTGACAAATATTGTTTATTATATGATATAATTTTATTTTGTGAAAATATAAGAAACTGATGTGCAAACCTTTCGTAAGCTAACGCGAAAAGCCAGTGCAATGGACAAAATCGACAAAATAATTATAAATAATAAATTCGTATTTATACTATATGTGGGATAAGCTGAATGGCCTCGCTTGACAACATTATAAACATATGTACCAAAATTCCGCCTTTACAGTACAATAAAAGTGAGTGAGTGAGGTTTTACGCCGCTTTTAGCAATAATCTAGCAATATCACGGCGGGTGACTCCAGCAATGTGCTTCACACATTGTACCCATGTGGGAAATCGAACCCAGGTCTTCGGCGTGATGAGCGAACGCTTTAACCACTAAGCTACCCCTCCGCCCCAAGTCTCTAAGAAATGCATATCAAACTATTGAAAGGACGTTGTTTAGCGATCTCATAAATATGGATGACGAAGTATGAATTATTTCACTAACAGGTAACCTTCACTAACAGGTAACCTTCATTACGGAAACATCGGTATTCAAAGAATAATGTCAACACTACACTGGGGGCCCAATCCAGGAAGTGACAGCTGGCCAAAGACCACTCAGGGAAAGTAGGTGAATCGGGGCTCATACGTTCAACTACTTGTTCTGGTAGCATGTTGATAATTTTGTTCGTGTTAACCCAACAATCGGAATTTCCTGTTTTGTCCCTTATCGGAAAATGTGACGAGAACTAACACACGTAAATAGTTTCTTCAATTCAAGGCTAAAGAATAATATATTCACAAATTATATTGAAATATTATTTTATTACTCATCCCCATCCCTGCAGACCCTGTGGTGTTCTTGTCTAAAATATCTTGTAAATATAGTGAGTGAGTGAGTATGGTTTTACGCCGCTTTTAGCAATATTCCAGCAATATCACGGCGGGACAGCAAACATGTGCTTCACACATTGTACCCATGTTGGGAATCGAACTCTGGTTTTCGGCGTGACGAACGCTTCAACCACTAGGCTACCTACTCATGTATCGGGAACGTTGTTAGGTGTGACCATGAATCAAGGGAGATAACTGTTTTCAGAATCGCATCCGGAGGCACCTGGGCTGACGACTTCCACACCTACACCATGGACTGGGATGCAAGTGGCATTGTGTAGGTTTGAGGCCAGTTAACACGGTTATATATTATAATAGCTTAACTCCGTATCAGACAAACAAACTTCAAAACAATAAAAAACAGATGATGGACGGATGGACGCCACTGTACGTCTACGGTCTACGGTACTTCACGTGGTGTATGGCCTAACGCTGGTTCTTGTAACACTGCAGCATCTCCGTTGACGGTGACGTCATCCTGAACCGGCCCACTCTCTCAAACGGATACTTTTCATTCGGGGGCTTCAGCGGCATCAACCCATGGGCTGGACACGGCAAGGACGCCCCCTTTGACCAGGAGGTGAGGACTGGGATATGTTCCGCATACTCCGTAGACTGGTTTGCTTGCCAAAGAGCTCTCCACGCCGCTTTTCACTTCTACATCCGTTAGGAGGCGAAGCGCAGGGTCAACAAAGAGTTGAGGTTAAAGTGTGGGATGAGGTATCAGACTTACATGGCCTATCCTCTAGGGGTGGTCCGATTAATTGAAATAATCGAAGATTGGTCGCAATGACTAAACGACCAACCAATCGATCATGTTTTCTCATAATCGAACACTTCGAATCCCCACATGGGTACAATGAGTGAAGCCCATTTCTGGTGTCCCCAGCCGTGATATTGCTGGAATATTGCTAAAAGCGGCGTAAAACCAAACTCAGTCAGTCAGTCAGTCATAATCGAACACAAACAATTCTGGAACACTTGTTTGCATTAACCAAATTGTTTTTCACAAGGTTGGTTTTGTCTGTTACTTTTCATACGCACTACTAGCTCGTTCCAAGTCATGATTGAATTTATCTTAAAGAGTCCAGGAAATTGATGTTCCTAACATACTAGTCATCCTGTAAAGAAGTGAAATTTGCAAATGCATTGTGTGCAATTTGCAACAAAAACAACCCCGAAAGAACGACATGTTTTTTCTTTATTTTTTTGTGCATTAAGAAGCATAACCAGGAACATTTGATAAATGACGCTAACCAATTATTTTCGATGATTGATCGGTTGTAATGAACCAATCATCAATTATGACATTTTAACCAATTCCCAACACTACTATCCTCTATTCCCTCGGACAGATTAATTTTGCCTTGAATGGAAGTCCCAATGAAATAAGTGTTCACTGTATTGTATCGAATCTCAGAAACCCCTGAATTCTGCTCAGCATCTTTATACAAAGAGCATGTGACTATGAATATCGTATTCTGTAGATTTTGAGTTCTCATGAACTGGACAGTCAGTCCAGTGGTCATGTTATCATCATACGAGGTCCAAAACTATGAATGATTACATAACGAATATGGGTCACCTATATGTCGGAGCTGTTTGAATACACATGCAAAAACATACTTCAGATAACGTTTGTCTACATTGAGGTCAGTCCCGAAGTATAGTGCTACAGAACTAGAAATAAATGAAACTGTATAAAAATGTATGTTCAACACTTTTCTGGATTATCAACTATCACATGCCTGACTAAAAATATTCTAACTACCATTCTTTAAGTGAGTGAGTTTAGTTTTTAGCAATATTTCAGCAATATCGCGGCAGGGGACACCAGAATGTGGAGACAATGTGAGAATATCTCCATGTGGAGAATCGAATCTTCTGTCTTCGGCGTGACGAGCGAAAGTTTTAATCACTATAGGCTACACTACCGACCCACATTCTTTAAGCATTGTCACACGCGTATATTGATTCTCATACCTAAATTATAGTTCTCAGGTTTGCAATCTTTACTTTATGTCTGAAAAACGAGACTTGTGATAAGTTTCCTTGATTTTGGCAGATTTGTTAAACCAGTTATGAACAGTGCTCGGGGGAACTTTAAAGTTATCATCACATCAGATTCCATTGCACCAGCCTTATGTACACAACGTTTGTGACTTGTGATCTGCAATCACTTTTTGAAATATTTAAGTTTTTTAAAACATAATTCCAAAACTCCAAGGAGCATTATACAAATCGATCTTAGCGTTAGCTGGTCACACCGAAGACCCGTGTTTGATTCCCCACATGGATGCAATGTGTAAAACCCATGTCCTCCGCCGTGATATGGCTGGAATATAGCTAAAAGTGGAGTAAAACTATACTCACTTACTCACTCAAATATCATCGCATGGCCACTGTTTGTTTAACTGCTCTGTTTCAGTTCCATTTCCAATTCAACGTCGCTGTCGGCGGCACCCTCGGCTACTTCCCCGACAACGTCCAGAACTCCCCCTACCCCAAACCCTGGTGTAACACATGTCCAACAGCTGGCCAGTCGGACAAAACATTCTGGGAGGCCAAAGACAAGTGGTACCCGACCTGGAAGGGCGAGAAGGCAGCAATGGCGGTCAAGTCCGTCAAAATCTGGAGTTACTAAACAACACAAATATTTTAGGTTTGATAATCAAGACAACGCTCGTGTGAATAAAGAGAGACATAAACTCTTGAATTATGTTATTGTCAAGAACACTTTCTCATATATTCTACAATTCGATCCTGTTCCAAATACTTGTAATAGACAGGTATTCACATAAGGCAGCTTGACTCCTGAGAGTTTCTAGGACTTCTGTCCTGCCCCACGACAAAGCACACATGACTCACGTGGTTTCACCTTAATTAAGTGAGCAACGGGATCGGGTTGTCAGACTTGCTGACTTGGTTGACACATGTCATTGGTTCCCAATTGCGTGGATCGATGCTAATTTTCTTGATTACTGGATTGTCTGGTCCAGACTCGATTATTTACCCTCCGCCGCTATAATATTGGTGAGTGTGGCGTTAAACAACAAACAAACACACAAACAAACAAACTACTGTGCTCAACTGTACTCTACACTAAGCTACTCTCCCCAGATTTCAACGGTCCGACTCGCAGACTTTGTTGTCGCGTGTGATCATAGCCCAATTGATATATAGATCGATGCTGATGATGTTGATCACCGGATTGTCTGGTCCAGAATCATTTATTTACCTTTCGCTCACCAACCTTCATTTTTGAAGTGATTTGATCATTTCTGTCGCTCATTTCTGCAACGGGGCTTTGGGTAGCCAAGAAGTCAAAGTGTCCAGCTGTTCAGCAGTATTATATACAATAGCGGTACGAGATCAATTCCAAGAAAAGACTCTGTAAAGCTTTATTTATGAAATAAAGCTTTTGTCAGGCCCTTATCTCTCTCCGCTATTGTATATACCACTGTTTGAATCCCCAGTTAACTTCCTGGTCACTATGACTGCGAACCAACACTTTCCTGGTTACGTGATACTATTGGGATCACTCGACAAGGTAAGTGTTAAATATTTTGCTTGGGGGGTAACATTGTGCCGTGGGGTATGATTAATAATTCCTCTCTGACGAAACCTCTCGGTGGCCCATTTTCAAGTAGTACAAGTTCGGCTCGTCGGCTTTGATGTCCACTTTATCTATGTTGTAAGTTTTGACCGACCATGTCGGGTCGGTGGCTCGTTTCCGAGTGTCCCTTTCATGTTCTCCCGGCTGGTAGAGGTATCTCACGAGAACCCGGTCGGGTATCTGTTTCTCCTTCCCACGCGATGGTGCAGCCGGTTCGGCCGTCACTGATTTCAGTTTGAGAGCGTCGGCCGGTTTCTTGCCGGTGAGCCGAGTGGTTTCGTGGTTGATAGCCGACACCACTTGAGGTAGCCGCGCTACCCATTCCTTAGATCGTCTCCCCGGATTGGCCATCTCTCTCGCATACTGATGTCCGAATAAGCGCTCGGCCAAAGTCCTATTGAATCTCTCGACGATGGCTTGGCTGGGATGAGCCCCGGCCGCGCCACGCCTGGCTTTTAAGCCGTGCTTAGTTAGCAGTTGTGACACGGCACCCATGAACTCCCATCCGGGATCGATTTGCAGTTCGGTGGGCCATGTCAGCGGTCTGCGCTTGTATATGCGTTCGAATCCGCGGGCTACCTGGGCCGAGTCTTTCGCGGTTAAAGGTCACATGCAACCAAAAAAATCATACATTATTAAAACACAATTATCACTTATTCATGACATGGTTTACTTCCCAAGAAACGAAGCAGCCGGGATACCGAACCCAGTCAGAGCGGGTGGGTGTGCACTCAAGTGTAACGGCTGGTTCATTTGCAGATACCCTCACGGCTCATTGTGTGTGTATATATAGAGATGTTGGGTTTTGTAAATACATGCTCATTTTTTTGTGTATAACATTTTGCAATCAACAGACATCATAACATGTCATGTGTTCAAGTATCACACCTGCCTGTCTGTGTAATTACATAATGTGACAGAGACCGAACTCGGGCCATAAATCAATGCATTTTGTTTATGGTGTATAGCCTGATTGGTGTTAAGTTCAAATTGCATGTGGTCAGTGATCGCAGTTGTGTATTGAATATTGTCATTAGCAGACAGGCAGGCAGACACACAGGTGTCAATAAAACAAGACATTGAGTTTTGTCTGTGACAGCGACATATCTATATCACAGTTAGAAATTCTGTCAACGCTAAATAATGACATTGCTTTAAAGTATCGAACTGAGAAAGTGACTCGGTAAGAAGAACGTGTGGTGAAATAGGCCGGCGACCACGGTGGCGTGGTATGCTTCGTTAACGAACGTTTTCCCCTCGGACATGATGTATATGATATAAAAACATATATTTAATTACAACATAATATGGGGGTTGACCTCTAATTGGGGTTGCGGGGGTGGGGTTGGTTTTGGGGATGTACGATATAGCATGAATAATGAGAGAGCTGCAGTTGCGCCTACAATCCATATATAGTTACTGTGACGCTTAGCCAAACCACCTTTTCTACCGGCGGCGACTCTCTTAGGGTTCTTCTGCTTAGTGACTTGTGTCAGGGTTGGGGTTTCCTCCTCACTGGCTGGGCAGCATCCATCTTGTATACTATTATGATTATTATTCCCCTCTTTGAATTGGCAATGCTTCGCCGTGATGATCGCCGCCGTCACCGGGGCTAAGAACATGCCGTATTTATGGTACAGCAGGCAGCTGACGGCGCGCTCAAAGCGTGTTCGATAAAGGGGTCCTTCTCGAGGTCCTCCCACAGGTAAAGCCGGCGTTCCGGGGGAATGGGGAAGACATACGACACCAAACCGGTGTAGATCTGCGTCATGGTCGACCCTATAGTCTTCGTCATCTCGGCCCCGAGCCGGGACTCGTATCTCGCGTACAGCTTATCGACCTCATCGGCGGGTAGTTTCTGAATCTTATCGGGAGCATAGTCCCCAAAGTATTGTTTGGCCTTACCGCCGACCGCCAGCACCATTAGTTTCTCTCGCTTGTCGTCACTTTTATCATCAGGCAGTTTCACTCGCTTATCGCCCTCCACAAACAGTTGTTCGAGCAGTTCGTTGCACTCCATCCTATAATGTAATAAGCGATTCTTAACTCTAATGATATAATAACAGATGCACGCAAAACACAGCGAGATGAAGGTTAAATTGCACACGATGAGCACTTCACAAGCCATATAGAATATTGAACTTTTAGTTGCTAAACCATTGCTCAGCATTGCTTGGCAATGCCTAGCACTTCATAAGCCACGGGTTGGTCGGTCTTGAGCACGAGCTTAGCATGCTTAGTTTCGGCTAGCTGCCTTTTCACTTGTTCCCGTTTTAGTTTCCTCATCACGTCGTTTTCTCTCAAACATTCTTCGAACTAATCCCTGTCCTTGCAGTGGAATAAGGCTACCCATCGCGTCTGTTCCCTGAGGTCTTTCAGGACCGAGTTGAACTTCTGCATCAGCACCCAGACGCTGTGCTGAGCGTGCCGGCCGGAGAAGGCTAAATACGATAGCATGTCTCTCTCTTTTGTTATCTCCTTGTTAGCGCTGCAGTCGTCCAGGAGAAACAGCGTTGACTCCCCCTTGAATTTACCGTGGTAAGCCTTCAGCCAGTCCTGCAGGCGTGTTCCCGGGTCGACTCTGTGCACGTCCGGGTCCGTCATCACCCAAGGTCTTTCAATGTACGTTTTGTTCATATGCAGAGCAGGGCAGATGATAACGACATTGTCGAAGGCATCCCTATAGTACCACTCCAGCATATCCAGCACGAAAACGGTCTTCCCACAACCAGTCTGCCCCCACACTATGGCGCAGTGTGCATCACGGGGTAGATCAATAGATGGCTTGCACGAATCTCCCATTATCTATATTAAGCTGCACGTCCATAATCACGTACAGATATAATTTCAACTTGCCCGCGGGTTGAGCCTTCTTGGTAATCTGGATGGTTATCCCCACGCTGCCGTTGTCGATGCAGCGTCCGCTGCCATGCAACTGATCGTCGTCCGTGGATCGCATGTCCAACCATAGCGCGTACTTGGTGGTCAGGTATTCACCAATCTGCACAGAGGATAGATCCAGGTCCTTGATGACGTGGTGATGTTGGGTCGGTAGCTTCATTATCTCGTCCCACTGCTGGTGTGCCCTCATACCATGGCTGAACAGCTGGTTGAGCACGCCCTCGATGGTGATCTCGGGGTTGAAAAACTTCTCGCTGTCCCTTCGGAATGGCTCGTAATCCTCCACGGGGACGATCAGGATGCCTTTCATCGATTGTGCCAGCACATTTAGGTTGATATTCCACACCATGTTGCTCTTATCCCGTACTACCATTCTATGCCGCAGTATGCAGTCGTAGAGGATGGCCACCTTCCCCAAGTACTAGGTTCGAACCTGCCTGGCCAGCTCCGGGCTAGTGACCATGTCGAACTCCAGAGAGATGTTCTCGATGGCATAACTGGCCTCATCACCGTTCGGCGTACGCACGACTTTGCCATAGTTGTTGAACGTGAGTTCATATTCAAGCCTATCACCCAGCGTGGCCTGGTAAAACGGCACGTGCCTAGTGAGCAACTCGAAGTCCAGCGGCACGCAGAACCTGTTCCCGTACGCTTCGGCGATGGCCTTTTCACTAGCCGAGACCTTGTCGAGCTGGTCTGCCGTGAAGCCGTACCCGACGCGCAACCTAGTCGACTTACTGATGCCTTGGTACACGTCGTTGACGTGTTCTCCCTCGCTTTTCCCAGAGGTCCCCGTAGCAGTAAAATACGTCGCTATCGTCGATGCTGATGGCCCGACCTACGTTTCGCACGAGCTTGCGTTTGTAGTTGTCGGAGGTGAACGTGAGGTTGAACGCCAGTCTAACCGTGCCGGGCACGATGAAGTGGTTTTCACCAAGGCTGGGGAATCGAACCAGCAGCATTTGGTTCTGGTCTGTCTTGCTGGGATTGTTGGTGATGGTCACTGACTGGCGCACGGCTCTGGTGCCTAGAGGCTATCTTGATCTCCGGAAAGGGTCTAGCTTCCTACCATATGACATTGTTATATACATGAAATATATAAGTTTAACATAATTAAATATGGCTGAAGGTGGTGGTTACGATGACATCCAGATGGATGACTTGTGGGATAATAGTGCCCACTCGTTCG